GGGGGAGCAGTGATAGGGAGATCTTCAGTGTGGGCTCTAAGGCACTTGGTCCACTTAGCTGAGGCATCGGGACCTTTGTTTCTGAAGCTCCCCATCAACAGCGGGTGTTCTACAAATGCTTTTAGCCTGTGAGGACTTTGCTTAAGCTGCTTAAGACCTATTATTGTTCCCTGCTTGGATAATGGGAGGAAGTGGCAGCAGGGACATCATCATCATCGTCATCGTCATCGTTATTATTGTTATTATTATTATTATTACATTACATTTCTATACCGCTCCTTCCTGAAGGCTCGGAGCGGTTTACACATATACATTTAATCGTCTAACTAGGGCCACATACATATCAGGGGAGATGGATGCCTTACCAGGCACCTATGCAGCGTAGGTCTTTCTGTGGCGGGGGCTTGCTAGGACCAGGCGGGAGTGTCCTTCGGCGGAGGTCTTTTTTCATCTCTTCGGCGCGGCTTCCTGGGATGGTCCTTTTATGGCGCGCGGCTGCACGATGAGGTCGCAACTGGTCTCTGTCCTGGAGGCGCCAACCGTGCTTACGTCACCTACATACATACATCTGTATGGTAATGAGGAGTCAGGGCCGTGGAGGGCCATAATGAGCCAAAACCCACTTCAGGACTTAGATCAAGATAGTTAGCTGTGTTTGTCTGTAGTAGTCGAAAAGAGCAAGAGTCCAGTAGCACCTTAAAGACTAACAAAATATGTAGCAGGGTATAAGCTTTTATGATCAAGATAGTCACTGCTCACTTCTTCAGATACAGCTAGAATGAGAGTCCATCTGTCTTATTTATTGGAAAGTGGAGTGATTTCAGATGCTGAATGAAAATAGCAGGCAAATGACAATAACAGCTGAATGACAACGGCAGGTGTGTTTGGATCTAGGTGAGATATGCAGAGGGGTAATATAGGTGTGGAGAAATCAGCATTGGTAATGAGACAGGAAACTTAGGTCTCGATTCAGTCTTGAGCTTCATTATCAGTTGTAATCCAGCAATTGTAGCAAAACTCATGAAAGCTCATACCCTGCCACAAATTTTGTTAGTCTTTAAGGTGGTACTGGACTCTTGCTCTTTTCTACAGCTTTAGGAGTGTGGCCTTGGTTCATAATGGCTTGTGGTGTTCTAAAATTGGAGAGTTTGTTTCTGAACTCCTCAGTTCTTAATTTCATTGCCACTGCGAAAACAAAGACCCCTATCTCTGAGAATAAGGGATTCTAGAAATAGCACGTGCATTTCTTTCTTTTCTTTTTTTTGGCCACCCGAAGGGGGGTTTTTTTTATTGCATTTTATATAAGGACTACAAACTACAATGAAAATAGGGAGGGGAACTACAATTAAGGATAAAGAAAAGATACCCACTACTGCCTAAAAACCCAAGAGAGGAGATCATCAAATTTGCTTGAATACAAAGTCACCCCTTAAAACGCTAACATTTTTATGAACTTAGTCAGACATGCTAGTATATCTTTTAAATCTTAAGTTTAACTGTTGATAAAACCCCTCAGAGCATCTCATTATTAAAAACAATATTTTCAAAGGCACAATTCAGAGTCCTTCAGCCTTCATTTTTTCTTATCCTGTCTTTTCCGCAGTTTGTAAGGACTTTTAGGAGCTGCCGCCCCTGTCTCGGAAAGAGAGTCCTCTCCAGAAGACCCTGAGTCCAGCTTGCCACTGGACTTACTGTCCTTTTCCTCTTTTTCCACCTCCTCTGGCTCTCCCAACTGGATTCTCAAAAACTCCCGCGCTTTAAGAACAGAGTCAATCTTTTCCTTTTTATTCTGAAGTTTGAAGGTTACACCCTCTGGAGTTAGCCACCTGTACAAAATGACATTTGTTTGAAGAAAAAGGATTAGATCTTTGTACTTCTTTCTCCTTTGTCTTATTTCAAATGGAATATCTTTCAGAATCCTGATAGTATTGTCCCCAATTTTCAAAGGTGATCCCGCTGTTGCTCTCAGGATAGAATCCCTCACATGCCTCTTCAAGAATCTCATTGCTATTCTGCCTTCAAATCTGTCACTGGGGCCAGTGCTTTGCTCATCATTTGCTTCAGATTCTCACCCTTAGTCTCTGGGACACCTTGGAAGCGAAGGACCAAGTTTGACTTCTCAATTTGTAATTGTAAAACTGTTATTCTGTAGAAACTTGCTTCTTTTCCAATTATTGTACCTTTTTCTTTGCCTTTTGAGCAGTGGCATCAACTTTTTTAATCTTCTCAGCTGTTTGTTCTGTAATGTTAAGAGTCTCATTCAATTGCTTTTGCTGAGTGGAGATGCATTGGTTCATTGTTGACAGTTGTTCCTTGAGATTATTCATCTGATCCAGCAGGGGGCGCAGGGATTCTGCCAACGTTTTGGCCAGCTCAGTGGTTCCTTCTGGTTGTGGACTCTCAACTACTTTCACTTTTTAAAGTTTTTCTTTCTCAGTCCTCTTGCCTGCCATTTTTATGAATTGTTTACTTTCGGAAAGATTTATAAAGTCTGAATATGCGCTCAAATGCTCATATACACCTTGGTAAGTCTTTCTCAACAGATTTCGTCTCTTTTACTTCCGCTCCCCCCCCGAGTCCCACTTTTAAATTTATGCGCATGGGAGGGGCCCCTCCCCCGCTTGCTTTACTTTCTAGTCCGTGGAGTGGGGAGCTTTCTTTTTAAATTCGCAAATGCGCTTTAATCTGACTCATGTTCATATTCGGTCATACGACCTCATTTAGTCTAACTGCTTGATCTCCAGCGCTTGTCCCGGTCAGCGTCACTTGTTCCAATCGGACACTCAGCAGAAGGACCGTCGGGACAGAGAAGCGCCTTGATTCTCCAGCATTGCGCTGGCGAAGAGGCGACCTCTCAGAAGTCCCCTGGCTAGGAGCCTTTCACCAGGCTCTGGGGGGAGTAGTGATGCCTGGCCCCCCCTTTCTGCCGGTGCACAGCTTTCACCCCCGGGAGGTCCAGGAGGTGAGTCTGCTCGGCGCGCCGCCATAAACCGGAAGTCATGAATTTCTAATATGCTGTGTAACTTTAAAGGTGGGATTGGCGAATGAGGAGAGGGGGTGGCACTAACAATGAACAGAGGATGTGATGAAAGAAAGACTACATTGTCAAAGTTAATTAAAAGGCGGAATGTTAGTTATACTGTGGAATGAGGAACTGAAGGGCTGGAGGTAATATGGAAAGAGCCTAAAATGGCAGCTTTCCAGAGGTGAGATGACAGAAGATAAAATATAGTTGAAACACGATGAACTGGTGTGTTTTTTTCCTGCTAGCCCTGTGAGGTCTCACCAGTGTTGGTTTGCCAGCTCCATGTTGGGAAATTCCCAGAGATTTTTTTTGGTGGGGTGTGTTTGGGCGGAGGGCAAAGTTTGGTGGGGAGCTCAGCAGAGACGTGAAGCAGCCATTTTCTCCAGGGGAACTTCTCTCTGTAGTCTGGAGATCAGTTGTAATACCAGGAGAACCTCTGGTACCATCTGGAGGTTAGGAACCCTGCACCAATGTGCTAAACCAGCTAAAGCATTGCATTGGCTGCCTATAGCATATCGAATTTGGTTCAAGGTGCTGGTTCTTACCTTTAAGGCCCTATATGGTCAGGGGCCGACATACCTAAGGGACCACCTTTCCCCACATGTTCCCCAGAGAGCACTAGGATTGGGGTCCCAAAACCGTCTGGCCTTTCCAGGCCCCAGAGAAGCCAGGCCGGCTGTGACAAGGGCCAGGGTCTTCTCAGTAGCAGCTCTGTACTGGTGGAATGAGCTCCCGGAGAACATCAGGGCCGTGCGGGATCTTTTGCAGTTCTGCAGGGCCTGCAAGATGGAGCTCTTCCACCAGGCCTTCGATTAGGGAGCCACACCTAATAAATTGATGCCCTAGCCCCGTTAATAACATCATTATTAACATCCTGATACAACCCAGACTACGATGTTAGCTGACTGTATGCCTGTTGGATGCTGCTAATGCCTGCCATCGCGATACTAACTGCAGTAGCACTTTATATTATGTTATGTTTTACAGTCACATTGTTGTGATTGTACTGAATTTTGTATTTTAGTGGTTTCATACATCCTATGTAAGCCGCCCTGAGCCTGCCCTGGCAGGGAGGGTGGGATATAAATGTAATAAATAAATAAATTCTTCTTCTAATTCTTCTTGTCAACCAACTGGCTGTTTATCATCTCTTAGGGTTGGAGTGCACAGTACACGTTTGTGGAGGGTGTTGGCCCATTCTTCAACTGTAGAGTACAGGCCACTAAAAGAAGTGACAATAACAACAACAGTGCCTTTAAGCTGCTTCCAACCTCACCTCAACACCTAGAGGGTAGTAACAGCAGCAGTGTCATAAATGTGTAGTGAATCTATTTCTGTCAAACAAGCAGGTCCCCCCCCCAAAGGCCTCTCTGCCCTCCCCATCAGTCTCTTCTGAGCATTATTAATATACCATCGATATCTTGCCGTTTTAGCAAATTCTGCATGTTTCTTTCCTGCTAGGCTGAAAGTAAGACCATAGAGTTCTCAGTTCTTCATGTGCATGCAAATATGACCTCTAGAACAGGGTCTGTCTGTGCAAAGGGTTCCCAAGGACCACGTGGGGAATTCCTGGAGATTTTGGGATGGAACCTGGGGAGGGTAGAGTTTGGGGAGGGGAGGGGCCTCAGTGGGGTATAATTCCAGACGGTCCACCCTCCAAAGCAACCATTTGCCTGATCGCTGCTGTCTGGAGATCAGTTGTAATTCTGGGAGATCGCTAGGCCCCACTTGGAGGTTGGCAATTCTATCTGTCCATCATTTAGCTCTCAGCTGCGGTTTGTATTGTTACTATTGCAGCAAGGTTGTTTAGTGTAAACTGAAGTGTTAAAATCAGCCAATGTTATTTTAGTATTGCAATCTATCCTAACACGATCAAGTTGTCATGGTTTACCGTTCTCACTCTCTCCTTCGATCAAGTTGTCATGGTTTACCGTTCTCGCGCTCTCCCTCCCTCCCTCCTCTCTATGTTTTTCAGATTATCAGTTTATTAAATGTCTTCACACCACAGAAATCGCTGGAGGAATTCCAGGATGTGTAAGTAATGCAGGCAAGAGTAAAAACCTAAATCTCTGCTGGGGCTGAGGTGAAGGGGAGGAGGGCATTTAATTTTCTGTAGAGAAAATTAAAATCGAGGAATAATAGAATGGATGTTCTGCTCCTTCTAAGGAATTGTCTCGTGGAGAAGCTCAGGCTAGAACCTGTTAAGTTTGGACCATCAGTCTGCTGCCTTTAGGTATTTCGGAAAGCACTCGTCGCCTACGTTTGTAAAAGCAGAAATGGAAAATGTGTGCAAAGCATTCTAATAGGGGTACTTGAAGAAATGCAGGGAGGAGGTGGAAATCATGTGCACAACATGCAGGGATCTCTGAAGGACTCTTACAGAGCTCTGTTTTAATTCCTTTGTGTTGCTCGCTTGCTCAGGAAGCGGCTGTTTCTTCCAAACTCCCTGAGGTATGCAGGCCTTTGAAACGTGGATAATTCACTCTGAAATAATCTCCTTGTTAAAATAAAAAGAGAGAGAGGGATGCGAAACATTTTTCTTCTCTTTCATATTTATTTTGTGATAACCTATGACTCTGTAAAGTGAGCTGCCTGGGGATGCGGCAGAGAATTGCTAGTATCTGTCCACCAAGCATTGTCCACTGTTAACTTGGAACACAGTGAAAACCTGACCTGAATTAAATCTGAGGCAATCCAAAAACATTTTCCCCAGAGTCCACTCTTCCTGCCTTTTGTGAATTTCCTTCACTGTCCCCAGTTTGTGTCCCACAATGTTACGCTTGCCTGGGCAAACACATTTTCTCCTTATGTTTGTAGCTCATCCATCAGTTTTAAATTATGTTCTTGGGGGCTCTTGATAGGGTTGCCAAGTCCATCTTTCACCCCCAGCGGGGGACTTTGGGGGTGTTCCTGGAGGGGGCGGGGCATCCCCGACGTGATGACGTCACGTTGGGGACGTCCGCCGCCGCCCCCACCCGCCCACGCACTGGATCTCCGGAAACGCCAGTTCCCAGCACTTAAAGGAGCCGGCGTTTCCCCTTTAAGAGCATGAGCCGGCATTTCCCCTTTAAGAGCAAGGAGCCGTGTTTCCCTTTTAAGTGCACAAAGCTGGCATTTCTCTGCAAGCCTGATCTCAAGCGGAGATTGGGCTTGGGAGGAAACACGGGTTCCATTCCATGCACTTAAAGGCAGCCACCCCTCTCTATCAAGAGAGAAGGGAGAGGGGTGGCTGTGGGTGTTGGGGGTGTGGCTTCCCCCGCCAGCCATCTCGCCGGCAGCGAGTAGAACCCCCCCAAAAAACGGGGGACCCCTGGCAAACCGGGGTTTTTTTTTTGGCAACCCTAGCTCTTGACTTCCTCGGACACTTTTCAGGGGTTCCTCAATTACAAGGTCAAGTAAAGGCAGACACCTATGTAAGACATCTAGCCCACCATCCTTAGAAGGTAGCTCTGTTGGTCTGCAGTAGAAAAGCTAGATTCAAGCTCAGTAGCACCTTAGAGACCCACAAGACATTCGAGATATAAATTTTCAAGGGTCAAAGCTCCCTTGAATCTAGCTTTCATCAATCCTCAGTGGGTTCTCTACAATGTGTTGGGTGATGCTGGGATGAGAAAGTGTTACAATCGTGCGTAAGCAGTAATTGTTGTCTCTCCCTGCCAGTTATTTAGTAATGGAGCTGATGGATGCCAACTTGTGCCAGGTGATTCAAATGGAGCTAGATCACGAGCGAATGTCTTACCTGCTGTACCAAATGCTTTGTGGCATCAAGCACCTTCATTCCGCAGGAATCATACACAGGGTAAGCGAGCTTCTTCAGGGAAAAAAATAAACATTTGAAGCAAAGAAAATGTGTGCATCCTTTCCGCTCCTGGGAATGCCAGCTAAAAGCCCCTGAATGGCTTCGGTTTTATTTGCATCTGCAGCGAGAAACACTAGGGCAGGCTGCTCGAAACAAAAACTGGCTTGGTTCAAATATATAAAGTGCAACCGCAGTTTGTTTTATATGTGGTTAGTTTGCAAAACCAGGGTTTGGTTTCCAGATGATCTTTCAGCTCTTGGTTTGCATTAATAAATGCTGGTTTTTCCACGGCCTCCCTCAAGGACACCAGACTCGTATCTTTGCTGCAGTGAGGGCCAAACTACACAATACAATTTTTAACAAGTTTTGTCCCTGGGCTCAGCTCACTTTCTTCCATAGCCAAACAGCAGCTGTGAGGAATGGCTTTTTAAAAATCTATGGGTGCCCGATTGGGTCAAAAAAGTGGCTCAGGGAGAGAAGGAGCTCCTGCCTTCCCTCCCACTTGGTTTCTCCCTGCTGAAACTGCCGAAGTTGTTCCATTTTGGAGCTGTATGTGCATGGAATACTCATTAATATGTATCTTGTAGTTTGGCCCTGAGAACCAAACTGCATGTTCTGGTGGCCACAGGTCCAACATCTATTGGGGGGGGGGCTGTTTTGGCACTTGAAAAGGTGCAGGGGGGGAAGTCACCTGGTGCTACCCCAGTGTGGGCCTAATCAGGGTTGGGCCCTCGTGGCTATTTTTAAACAGCTAAATTTTCTTTCAAAATGGCGTTGGCATCTATGGGTTGAACAGGAACCATGCCCTCTCTTAAATCCCTCGTCTCAGGATATTTGGGTCTTTTTCGTTTATAAAAAAGACAAAGGGGGAGTGATTTATAGGTATGCATGGCATGGATAAAGTGGATATACATTATTTTTCTTCCTCTTTTCCCTTAATACCGGAATTTAATATCACCCAGTGAAATGGAATGGCAGTTGTTTTATGACGGAAGAAATTGCTTCTTCACACTGTGCATAAATAATGTCCTCATTGATGAAGACCACTGTGTTGGATGTCTTGAAAGAGGGACTGACAAGTTCATTGGGCATAAGTCTATCAATGTTCTGTTAGCCAGGATAGCAAAAGGAAGCCTCCATGTTCAGAAGCAGTATACCCCTGAATGCCCATTATTAGGGGACAACTGCAGGAGAGGGCTGTTTCCTTCAAGACTGACTTGTGACCTTTCTGGAGGTATCTGATTTAAAATTGCTGGCTATAGCAGGGTTCTTCTTGTGTTTTTGCATGCTTGTCTTATGTTCTCTTTCCCCTATATTTCCAATATACCAGACCTAAAGCAACACTTCTCCCAGTATGTCTTGTAGGTAAGTTTTGTGTCTGCTTTCTTCCTTCCTTCCTTCCAGGATTTAAAACCAAGTAATATTGTGGTAAAATCTGACTGCACATTGAAGATTCTGGATTTTGGACTGGCCAGGACAGCGGGCACTAGCTTCATGATGACTCCATATGTGGTCACGCGTTATTACAGAGCACCAGAGGTCATCTTGGGAATGGGCTACAAGGAGAATGGTAGGATATATACGTGCATATGATGAACCACGTGGGATGGAGTAAAGCTAAGGCTGTCAATTGCCCAGATTGAAAACAAAACAAAACAGGGACTTGTTCCTTTAACAAAAACTTGCTATGCACGTACTGGTAGTCCTAAGTTTTTCATCCACATGGAGATGAACGTGCTCCCCTGCTATAGCAGGTGGTCGAAAAGCTGACAACTAGCGATAGAGCATGCTGTGAAAAGAAAAAAAGCAAGCTCCATATAAAGATAGGTCTTAAACTTAAAAGTCAAAACAGTTTGGCGCTTGAGTTTCCGCAGCTGTAACCAGCCGGCAAAATCAGAAAGCGTTTGTGACTCTGTGTACACTGAGGTATCCAGTTTGATAGGGCAGGCAGAACGACTAAACAATGCATGTGATACAACCTGACCACCCGATTGGCTGTAGTGCTTTGCGTAACTCGAGAACTAAGAGAGAACCCTGATAGAGCATCTGGGGTTGGACTAGAGAGGATGCCTTGGCATCTGTGGCAGTTCTAGGAGTCTCTAGATGTGGCCTGAAGCCAGTGAAAGCTGCCCCTCCAGGCCTTTCTCACTTCAAAATATGACTCCTGTTAATCTTTAGTCACCAACCAAGGTTGGTTATGTATTTTATATTATTATATGTTTCCTGTGTGTAACTCTGTCATACAGTATATAATAACCATCCAAGGTGTATATGCCTCATAAAGGCAAAAGAATTTGTGCAAAATCTAATGATGGGTGACTCTCTTCTAGTCTAATTCGGAGTGGGATAGTTTAAATCAGAATGATTCGTGTTAAATATTAGGTATTTTTTAGGAATGTGTTTTCTGCTTTTATAATGGATAAATGTTTATTTAGTTATTTAAAACGTTTTGATGCTGCCTTTCCACTCAACTTAGAGTCCCCCAAGGCAGCAAACAAAAACATTAAAACGAACTTTATAAAATACACACATGGAGAAAACAATTAAAAACAACTAAACAAAGCACATAAACAGGAGGGACATCGTTGAGGGAACACCAGGAAAAGCATAAAAGGTTTCACTCGTTGATGGAAGATCATGACACTGGGGAGCAGCTCAGTCTCCCTGGAGAAGGAATTCCATAATTTTGGTGCCACAACTGAAAAGGCCCTTTTCTGAGTTGCCACTCATCTAGCCTCAGAAATATCCCACATTCAGGCCTGTTTCTAAACCAGGACAGGTTTTTAGCCTTTGAACCCATCTCTAGAGAGGATGGTAACGCTGTCAAATATAGCAGTTTATTGGTGGTATATACAGTTGCCAGGCCTAGGCCCTGGTCACACGGAGCATTTGCCCCGCTGAAGGCACAGGAGTCCCGCGGAGTATCCGGGCGCGATCACACGGGAACATCTGGTAGGTGTAGCATTCCCGTGGCGAACCCGTGGCAAGCCGCCGAAGCCGCGCAGTAAAAAACTAGCACACCACATGTACTAGCAAACGCTTTGCCACGGGCCGCCAATGGAAACCTCCCGGTGTGATTGCGCCGGTGCACGGCTTCCTCCCCCGTCGTCCTCTTTGCTGCGGGGAAGCCACCGTCACGTCTGATCACATAATAGCGCATCAGAATGCGATGGCGCAAATAGCCGTGCTCCCCCCCCCCCGCGTTTTTCGGCATGTTTGGCCGGGGCAGGAAGTGACCTCATGTCTTCAGCCCAATGGCTAGTTAAAAAAAAAAGTTTCTCCAAATAGCCTCCAAGCGGTGGTGGGAAATGAGAGGCAGAGGCAGGGGGTGCCCTGCCCCTGCCAGGGGTCTGGCCACTCTAATGGTAGGGCCAAAGGAATTCATGATTTTGAACAGTTTTGGATTTGCTCTACTAGGAATCCGGCATCCAACTTGAAGAAGCTGCATGGACAATATGTAAAAATCAATATACGAATTTTGATTTTTACTAGTAGAAGACACTCGTAAAATTCCTATCAAATAACACATGGACAATATCCAGCTTCAATCAAAACCCTCAACGAAAAGTGTTTCTAAGCTACAATTTGGCTACACCATGGTATCTGGCCCTTTGCTTTCTTGCAAATGGAGCCCAGACAAAGCGTTGGACCCCAAATCTGAAAGTTTTGGCAGTTACAGACGGACCCTGTCTATAGTACAAATGTCTGTTGGTTTCATACTACCTTATCTCTTATGGCTTCCCTGAAAGAAACCTAGAAATTGTAATTTGGCAGGTTGCTGAGAATTTTCGTAGTGGTCTCTGACATCCTTGCCCCTACTTCCCAGTACTTAAATTCTTATTCATCCACGGTAAGAGAGAATAACTGTTTAAAAAGCTGAGACCTTTAACAGTTTTGGTTACTTCCAATGTCATATTTCCTTCCCTGTGCTTTGAAAACATGTCACAGTTTCTGAAAAAGAACCTCTAGGACTCAAGTATGCCTAAACATTATACCTTTGTACACAGAAGCTTTCTCCCAGTCCCACAGTTGTGGGGCAAACTGTGTTACTGTTTAGTAGTCAGGGGCAGATGCGTTGCATTTGCTTGGAAATATGCTACTATTATATGACACTACGTGGCCTGGAGCCTTAGTACGGAGGCTTTGGGACTGAACCTTAACTAGGCTATTGTTTATCCCCACCACCCCCACCAGCTGGGCTGCTACAGAATAGTCAGGAATTCACATGCTATGGTTGCCTACTCCAAGTTAGGAAATACGTAGAAATTTTGGAGGGTGGACCATGGGGGAGGGCAGGGCTTGGGGTGGGGAATGACTAGGGTTGCCAAGTCCTACCTCGGGAATAGCAGAGGGAGTCCCGGATGTCTCCTGGAGTCTCCTGGCACACATGCAAAGTGTGATCACGTCACATGCAAAGCCGTGATCACGTCACCCGGAAGTGACATAATCGCGTCGGGCACATTGGGGGCGGGGCCACAATCGTCTGAGGGATGATAGAGCGTCCCCCCCGCAACGTGCCCGACGTGATTACGTCACCTCCGGGTGACATGTTCATGCCAGGCACGTTGTGTGCTTTGGGGGTGGGGTCCCCCCCAGTGGCCCAATCCCCACCGGCGGGGAATGGGCCTCTCGGGCAGGGGTTTCCCCGCCCCCCAGGGGGTCTTGGCAACCCTAGGAATGACCTTACTGGAATATAAATCCCTAGAGTCCACCCTCCAAAGGAGGCATTTCTTCCAGGGGAACTGATCTCTATGGTCCAGAGATCAGTTGTAATACTCAGAAATCTCTAGGTCCCACCTGGGGTTGGCAACCCTAGCACATGCTGATCGGAGAGGTAGTGAGTGTGTTGGGAATTACCTGTTGGATTTTTGTCTGTTGTGTACCATAAAAGGTGCAGCATGCCTGGCAGAAACAGAGGAAACAGCTGGAGCATCTGGTTCAAATGAAGCTCTGAAGCTACCTGCAAGGGGGAGTGACAGGGAAAAGGTTGTGTGGATGGCTGGATATACAAGTCATCCACCTGGAGACTCAGTAAGAAAGGCAGACTATAAATAACAAAAGCAAACACATACTAAGTAGGAGGCTAGCAGCTTGCAGCCGTTCCATGATTCAAGGCCGGGCTCCAGCCCGTGACTCCTTGAACGAGACACGGGAAGGAGAAAGGAGATTCTACTCTTGTTGTCAAAGGCCAGCCTTCTAGCATTTACGCCCAGTTCTGTCGAATCCTGTGAACTCATACTGTCTGCCAATCACAGGGGCCAATTTTGTACAGCTCTATTCCCTTCCATGCCTAAAAAGGGCTTTGGGGACTTAAATAGGTACAATTCTAGATAATGACCCAGCCTCAGATGGTGCATGTGGGTGGGGGGTGTCCCAAGTCCTTTTATTCCCTGGGCAGTTCATGTGCATCTGGCTTGCACATGTCCATTTGGAAGCTAGCCTGTCCATTTAGAAGAAATGAAATGCAGTAATGGATATAACCCCTAGTCTTGGGTCCCAGGCGTGGGCAGGAGATGCTGCTGTGAAGAGTATATCATTGTGGTAATGGGAGATGTGGAATGCCTCCATCAGAAAGGGACCTCTCAGATCAACATATTGGGGAGCAGAAGGAGGTATTTCCTTTGTGCTCAAACAGTGTTTTCATCTCAGATGTTCTCAGTTTTTCTTTCTTTCTTTTTTTTTACGTCAGCCCTGCACATATACAGTGCGAAATAGGGACTACAGATTTTTTAGGCTAGTTGCAGCAAGCTACAGAGAGAAGAGCAAGGAATGCAGTGGAGATAAATCCATTATATTGCTCTTGCTTCTGCCAAAAGTAATCTTTTCCCCTTCAGAAGAAGATACCTTTTTCAGCACTAAATGCAATGGAGGGAAATGATGAATCCTCTCAACCTTTCCATTTTAATGTGTAGAATCCAATTAGCATGCGGGCGGCTCTTTAACTAACATCTGACTGCAATCTGCGAGCCGGCAATTAGATTGCTATTTTAGCCTGATTTCTTTGTTATTTAAATTTAGTAATAATGTGGGCACATTTGCAGCACACCTTACATTTCTCAATTTAAAGCCGACGGCTGCCTCGAACGTGGTTATTAGTGGCGGTTATCAGCTTAAGGTGCAGATTTCCCTATTGTAGGTATTAATCAAGGGGAACTGCTTTTTAAAATCCCCATAAGCAGAAAACTTAAAGCTGCTACCAGAGGAATTAAGGGTGAGCTCTGGAGTCACTTTCAATCCAGAGTTCCATGTTTGCTCCTGATATGCTAGGGCAGCCCCCGTGTGAGCCGAACGTCAGTGGAAGGGGGACGTTCCATCTGCCCACCCCCTCCATTGTTGAGACCCCTGACCTGGACGACCCAAGCTAGCTTTATCTCATCAGATCTTGGAAGCTAAGCAGGGTCAGTCCTAGCTAGTATTTGGATGTGAGACCACCAAGGAATTCCAGGGTTGCTATGCAGAGGCAGGCAATGGCGAACCACCTCTGGATGTCTCTTGCCTTAAAAACCCTACTGGGTCGCCATGAGTCGGCTGTGTCTCGATGACACCTTTCACCAACAAAACTATAGAGAA